GGATCAGAGAATAGTCTATGAGCTCCATAAATGGTTGCTGATGTTAAGAAAAATGGTGGGCCAAATCTGTGTATGGAATTTTAAGGCTCACAGATGTAAAGACCACCACCTGTAAGAACTGATCACTCATTTAGGGCCAGCCACTGTGGAACACTTCACATGCACCATCTCATCTAATCCTCACATTACTCTATGAGGCAAAAAAAGCATTACACCCATTTATATGAGAAGACTGAGACGTAACAGGATTATACAATACGCCGTAAAGCACACAGCTGGTACGTGCCAAAGGTTGGATTTGAATTCAGGATAGTGTGATTACATCCTTTACCCAACATTATATTATGACAAATTCCCAACATAAAAACTGAAATAACTCTACAGCAAACACCCACACATGCATCACCTGCAATGAATATTTTATCGTACTATTTTATCCAACTATCCATCCTTCTACCCATGTATCATCCTTTTTTTGATACATTTCAAAGTAAGTTGCAGATATTGGTGAACTTGCCTCAATGACTTTAACATGAATATTGTTGCCTAGAGTTCAATTATCATTTACAGTTTTTTTCTCTTTTGGTTTATATGCAATGAAACGCACAAATCTTCTAGATCATGAGTTATTTCTACCACAGATGAATTTTGTATATTCTAGAATTTTCAATTAGTGGAATCATACAGTAAGGCTTCTTTCATATAGCGTAATGCCTTTGAGATTCATTCATGTTGTCACTATGGAAGTAATTTGTTCCTTTTTTTAAAAAAAATCTTTACCAGAGAACATGTTTTTATTGATTTTTAGAGAGAGGAACGGAGGGGTCACACTGAGAGAAACATCAATGTGAGAGAGACATAGCCTGCAACCCAGGTATGTGCTCTGATCAGGAATAGAACCTGAGACCCTTCCTGTGCAGACGCTCTAACTACTGAGCGACACTACCCAGGTCATTTTTTTTTTTTAAGAACTGTGGTTAAATATACATAACATGCCATAGCTGGTTTGGTTCAGTGGCAAATGTTTCCCTTCATTGAAAAACAAGTCTTTAAAAAAATAAATATAGCCCTAACCGTTTAGCCCAGTGGATAGAGCGTTGGCCTGCGGACTGAAGGGTCCCAGGTTCGATTCTGGTCATGGGTATGTACCTTGGTTGTGGGCACATCCCCAGTAGGGGGTGTGCAGGAGGCAGCTGATCGATGTTTCTCTCTCATCGATGTTTCTAACTCTCTATCCCTCTCCCTTCCTCTCTATAAAAAATCAGTAAAATATGTTTTTTTTTTGTTTGTTTGTTTTTTAAATATATTTTATTGGTTTTTTACAGAGAGGAAGGGAGAGAGATAGAGAGCTAGAAACATCGATGAGAGAGAAACATCGATCCGCCGCCTCCTGCACATCTCCCACCTATGGACTAAAGCAGTGGTTCTCAACCTTCCTAATGCCGCGACCCTTTAATACAGTTCCTCATGTTGTGGTGACCCCCAACCATAAAATTATTTTCGTTGCTACTTCATAACTATAATTTTGCTGTTATGAATCGTAATGTAAATATCTGACATGCAGGATGTATTTTCATTGTTACAAATTGAACATAATTAAAGCATAGTGATTAATCACAAAAACAATATGTAATTATATATGTGTTTTCTGATGGTCTTAGGCGACCCCTGTGAAAGGGTCGTTTGACCCCCAAAGGGGTCGCGACCCACAGGTTGAGAACCGCTGGACTAAAGGGTCCCAGGTTCAATTCCAATCAAGGGCACATGCCGGGGTTGCAGGCTTGATCCCCAGTAGGGGGTGTGCAGGAGGCAGCCGAGCAATGATTCTCTCTCTTCTTTGATGTTTCTCTCTCTCTCTCTCTCTCTCTCTCTCTCTCTCTCTCTCCCTCTTCCTTCCTCTCTGAAATAAATTAAAAAATATTTAAAAATAAAAATAAATATATATAACATAAAATTTATTTTTAAGTGTATATTTTTGTGGTATTAAGTACAATTTGTGCAATCACTGACTGCATTATTTTTAAAGCACTATGTTCTATTGCATATTATTTTTCCTTGGGTCTTATCTTTTTGCCTTATTTTCTCTGGTCTTGGTTTTTAAATTTACATTTATTTATCCTATAGTACTCTTGTAAGCCACTAAAAGTCTTTGTCAAATGAGGCAGGATGTAAATGCAATGTGTCTAAGTACCACATAAGAAACAGCAGAGTTTAGTAATCATGGGTAGAAGAGTAGTTCCAAATCTTATTTCGATAAAGATTAAAATGTGAGAACCTATGTCAGTATTTTAAACGGTAGAAGGTATTACAGAATGAATTTTCCCACTAGGAGCTCATTATCTGGGGGCTTCTGTCTATAGCAGCAAGAAAAATATTTAGGCCACCATGGTTATCCAGCGAGAAAATCAGCCCCTGGGTATTGAGGTTCTGAATACACAAAGTACCTGTCAACCAAACAGTCGGAGCTGATCGTACGTCATATTTCTCATCTATATGTTCAACCATCTGATGTTTTAGCAAGCTGCTTTAGTAGAGTAACTGGCACAGAGTAAGTGCTCAGTAACCACTGTCAAATTAATAAAGGAATCCTCTCATTTCTAACTAGAACCCTGAAGAAAATTAAGACACACATCCCCCCCACCAAAGAGAAAGAAGAAACTGGAGGCAATAGCGCACCACTATCTGAAAACATTCTCTGCATTGTTTTGTTTACATAATTCATTGCCTCATTCCCCCATTAGAATGCAGTAAACTCCATGAGAGGAGGGACTATGTCTGGATTGTTTCATGGGAAGCTAGAATAGGAGTACAGAATAGTGTCTCTTTAAATAAAATTTTAAATGAATAGCATAAAAGTTAAGGGCACTCATGGCTTTGAGGACAGGACTGACTTTGAGTCCTGGCTTGTCATTTAATAGCTGCGTAATTTTAAGATAGTTATCAAGCTTCCCTAATAACAGTATTTCACTCAGAAATTTCTGTGATTTTAAAAAGTGATTTTAAAGTATTTATTACCTAACAGATCATAGTCTGCTTATATTTACTGTGCACATACTATATGCCAGACACAATTCTAAATGCTGAATGTGAATTAACTCATTTAATCTTCACCATAACTCTATGAAGTAGGTGCCATAATCATCTCCATTTTTATAGTCAAAGTGAAGGAGACAGAGAGGTTAAGTAACTTACTATGGTAACACAGCAGACATAGCTTTCAAACAGACTGGCTCTGGAATGAATATGCTATACTTCCTCTCAATTAAGGCCCCAATGTTAGCTTTTATAACATAAATAGAGGCCCAGTGCAAGAAATTCATGCGGGGAGTGGGGGAGGGGGGGCGGGTTTCCTCAGCCAGCCTGTGCCCTCTCCCAGTTTGGGAGCTCTTGGGGGATGTCTGACTGATGGCTCTTCAGACATCCTTAGCGCTGCTGGGGAGGGGGGAGAGGCTCCCACCACTGCCTCTGCACTCACCAGCCATGAGCCCGGCTTCTGGCTGAGCAGTCCTCCCCCTGTGAGAGCGCAGTGACCACCAGGGGGCAGCTTTTGCATTGAGCATCTGCCCCCTGGTGGTCAGTGTGCATCATTGCGACTGGTCGTTCTGCCTTTCGGTCTATTTGCATATTAGCCTTCTTTTTAAAACATATTTTTATTGATTTCAGAGAGGAAGGGAAAGAGAGAGAGTGATGGAAACATAAATGATGAGAGAGAATCATTGATCGGCTGCTTCCTGCACGTCCCTCACTGGGGATCGATCACGCAACCCAGGCATGTGCCCTTGACCGGAATAGAACCCGGGACCCTTCAGTCTGCAGGCCGACGCTCTATCCACTGAGCCAAACCAGGTGGGGCTAGCCATTTATTATATAGGATAACTATTATTACGGGGAGAAGCCCAGACTTTCTGCGATGTTTATATTTACCCAATTGACACTTGTCCCATAATTAAGGGAGAACTAACTGAGCAGATGGAAGGAAAGAACGTACCCAGTGAGGCGGTTTCGGATAATTTTGACGCTCATCACGGTCTCCCCCATGGTGGCAAAGGCTCTGGAGATGAAGTTCTCATCCATGTAGGGCTCCAGCTGCGTAAACACAAGGGCAGAGCGACTCAGGCCAGCAGGCAGGCTCCGCGTTCTTGGCTGCAGAGCTCCTGCCCTCAGCTCAGGGGTGGCTACCTGCTGCGGGCGGTGAGGGTGCGGACAGGTTCTCACCGCAGAGCGGTCTCAACTGCAGCTCCGTCCCTTGCCGCTCAACTTGCACCCTCGAGCCTCCCCCTTGGACTTCGGAACCCACCCCTCCAGTCTTAACACCCAAGAGCCTGCCGGGGCCAGTGGCGGGTACCATTCCCCGTCAAGAGTGTGTACTTAGGTTGCAGGTACCCCCCGCGCCCCCCGCAAACGGGGCGCCTGGGGGAGGCAACCAATCGACCTGTTTCTCTCGCATCCATGTTTCTCTCTCTCTCCCCCTCCCTCCCTTCCACTCTAAAAATCAATGGGAAAAAATATCCCCAGATGAGGATTAACAACAATAAAAAGACTTTAAACAAACAAAAACAAAGAGCCCTTCAAAAGCCTTGGGGTTCCCCCATTCTCAGTCCCCAAAGAACCTCCCTTTCGCCTCCATGACGACGGCGAGGCCCCAGGACCCCTCCCCCCAGACTCAGTCCCTCCCCCTGGATGCTGGGACCCGCTTCTGTGTCACCAAAAGAACCCCCTTCCTATTCACTTCCATCTTTTTAGGATTCGAGGACCCCTCCCCTTCAGCCCCGCCCTCCCTGCTGACACTAGGATTCTTCCTCGTGGACGCGGGGAGCCGCCCTCACTCACGTCGCCCATCCACAGGCTGGCCGCCATGGCCCCAGTCGGGCCGGACTACGGGGCTGCGCCGCGCTGGCGCGAGTCCTCCGGCCGGGACCGCCACGGAGCATGCGCAGACGACGCCTTCTGCGCACGCTCCGAAACGCAGCGTCTCGGGCAGCGCCGGCCGGTGCCGCTTCGGAATTTTCCGGAGACTCAGTAGGCGCAGCTTCCGGGTCCCTCCGGGCGAATTGGGATCCGAGTCCGTGGCGCGGCGCAGGGTGGACTTCACCCTGCGCAGGTTGGTGGGTTGCTGGGGTAACTGGCTCTCGAGTTTCTTTCTGACTTTTATGTAGTTAAACAGACGTACAAATAACGTTTCAAAAGTAATATACGCTCATTGTAGAAACTTGCAAATACAAGTTGTTTTTTTAAGGTGAAATGTCCCCTTTGGGAGCCTGGACGATCCAGTTCCATGAACTCTGTGGACAAGCCACTGGTCTGCCCCAGCCACCCAGTTCGCAAGACGAGATTTTTGTTGAAGCTGGAATGGGATTCCTCCATCATTCCCGTGAATCGCCGGAGGGGGCGGGGTTAAAAGGAGTGTAAATTGGGGCGATCCTGTCATCTCAACCAGTCAATCCCCAGTCTTGTCACTCTGCTTTCTTGAGTCCCACATCCACTACCCTAATCCAAACCGCCAGGGACTTTAACCTGCCCCTGGAAGGCCTTGGTAAACACGATATCGATGACTTGAATCTTGAGTTTAACAGTGTCCCAGGCCATCGGCTCACTTTGGTGCCCATTTCTCAGAATGGGACCTCTGTTGGTGATAGTTGTCTCAAACAGTGAAGTTCATAACAAATGCTTCCGGATCCCTTTGTGGGACTCCCAACTGGGCTGATGAGCCCCTATGTCAGGCACTCATGGGTCTGAAAACGAGATCCAACCAAGAGTTGCCAAAATTGCCAAATTTCACTGCAATAGTAATGTAGTGGTTGGGTGCTTTGGCTATAGATTCAAACAAATGGAGCACCAATGCCAGCCCCTTCTCAATTATTCTGCCAAGTTATTGAACCTGAGATGAATGTGGATAATAGCAGTGCTTACCTTATAGGGTGTTGTGAGACCTTCAAATGATAACTTATAGCAATATATTTAGTTCTGTTTGCCAACCTGTGCTGTGCTCTTTGCTTACTATTTTTAAAGTATGGAAAAATTTTAAATACTTACTTAGAATATAAGCTTCATGAGACAGGGATCTTTATACATTTGTTCCTAATAAAATTCCTACAATGTTTGGGAGTAAGTATGCACTGAAAAAAAAATTTGCTGATTTTATGATATAAACAGCAGTCCCTTACCCCATCTATCCTCACCCCCAACTCTCACTCTATTGGGGCAATGATTTCCAAATCTTTTCCTTAGAATGTACCTGCATATTTCTAAATAACATACTCACTCATTTATAGTTTCAGATATTTTAACAACTGCCCCTCCTACATACATACTTCTCCATCTTAATTTTTGTGAAAGCAGTATTAAACATTTACATTATTTATAGCTGAGCCACATGGGGTACTATGACTACATCTGTTTTGGGGTAATCAATCCAGGATGGAAGAAGATGAGGGAAGATAGAACTAAGCATTTGAAAAACAAGGCAATTAATTATTAATTCCAGGGAATAAAAAAAAAGTACAATAGTTATACTAGAGAACACTATGTGCCTGACAGTTCTGATATACATAAGGCACCAACAGAGAACTTGCAATACAAGGAAAAGGACTTGAGTTCTGGGTTCAGGTAGAAGCTGATTTAGATTCTAGCCTACACTTCAACTCTCAGGGATTGTTTCCTGAGACAGCAATTACTACTTTAAAAGCTGGTGTGAAGTGAGGATTAAACAAACTATTATTGCCTATTAAGTGCTCAGCACAATGCCTGGCCCATTTTGGTCCCACTCCATAAGAGCTATTATTAAAAACAAGGCACTTCCAACCCGCTATATTGTCAAAGGGAAAAACTCCAATAAATCTAATCCAACTTAAATTGGTGGTGGATGGGTATGAGGTGGATGGGGGAGAGGGATTGATCAAAGTGTGATTTCTTTTTCCTTTTAAGAAGTCAATTTCTAATCAGTATAGTGCCTGTATCAAAACTAAAAATTCAAAAGGGGGGGAAAAAATCACAGACTACATTTTAAGTTATTTTACATTATATTCATTTTTAAAGTCACTGACATCCAAGAAAAATCCTCCTGGCCCTAATAAAAATGTCTTCTTATTCATATACAGACCTGCTGTATCAACAATATTCATTGCAGCTTTCTGAAATTATAGAAACGTTCTATAGCCCAATACCATAGGCACTAACCACATGTAATTATTGAGGGCTTGAAATGTGGCTAGTGCAAAAAGGAAGTTAATTTAAAATTTTTACACATTTTAATTGATTTAAATGTAAATGGCTACATGTAGCTAGTGACCATCATATTAGACAGGCCAGCTTTATGATTTTGTTTGCTCAAATGCCTGTGAAAATCTACATCAATATGAATAAGTTGTCTTAGGAGTTACTGTGCAGTTAATCATGTTTTATCAATTACATGAGCTGTTGAAAATGATAAAAAAGCAAGCTTAGTAAAAGTATTTGTAGAGATGTACCATCTTGATTTGGGATTAGGATGTTGAAAGAACCATTCTGTCTCTCATATTATGCAGCATAAATTTTTTTAAATACAGTGATTCCTGAAACATAAATACCTAAGCAAAAATAAAATCTTTTTTGATTTATATGGAACAGTCACAGCTGACAGGCACACATCAGGACATCTTGACATCACCTTAAGTCCTAGTCTTGACAAAGTCCACAGGTGTGGGTTTATCCTGCCCTTCCCAACACAGCAGATGTTCCCTTAAAAAAGCAGGGAATGTGTAGAAAACAAGTGGCCTGTTTTATAAAACTCTAAATTTATTCAAAATGTTAAAAGATTTCACTCTCTCTTCTAAAATACTTTACATTAAAAAAAAAACCTGCTTGCTATTTTCTCAGACGCGGTACAAGCTTCTGCTTCCCTTTCTGGGAACCAGTCTCTGCCCATCCAACCCTCTTCCCTGCCCTCCCTTCACTCTCGATATTGCTGTTTGTTTATAAAACCCTCCTTCCCTCGCCCCCATGTCCTGCACTGCAGGCCAGCTTCCTGTCCAGACTTCAGGCAGGTGAGGCAGGTGGACGGGCCGTGCAGGACAGAACACTTGTGCTTCTGGGAGAAAAGCTGATTGGCCTTTTTCTTGATCAAGTGGAGGATCACTCTTTATTTGCCCCTTTGGACACCTGTTCAGGGCCAAATATTTGGCTTGGGCTTGCCCATGGCTGGTAGCCCTGCCCCTTCTCCAGTTTCCCCCAGGCATAGGTGCTGACAGCTGGGTCCGACAACTGTACCATCGGTCTGCCTGTGGATTGTGAAGGACATAAGAGTGGCACATGACTAGAGTAGGGCTCGATGGAGCCCCAACTCCTCAGGGTGTGGGAATCAAACATTCCAACAAAACCCACTCCCCTCTTCCATTCCGCCCTCTCCATCCTATAGGTTACAGGCTAATTCCAGAGAGGAATAAAAAAGAGGAAAGTGATTCTGTTCCGTGGATGGAAAAAAAGGCAGGTGATGACAAAGTACTTGGGGCTGGGGAAGGCCTGCTGGAGTCTGTAGTCATCACAGCTTCTGTGTTCCAGGAGGGAGGGGGGGCCGGGAGCCAGGCCCTAGAAGCTTCATCAGCTCTGTTGCTTGTCCCTGACTAGTAAGACTGTGTGCTGGCCCCCGCTGGACACAGACAGAACCAGGCGGTTCTCCAGCTGTTTGCCTGTCATCTCCACGGGGATCCAGGCATCCTCCTCCTGTCCTGTGCCCAGCTGGTAGTTGGTGCCCATGCCCCAGGCAAAAACACGACCTACAAGAGAGACACACAGGGGCAGCAATCTTCAGAATCCATAGCCTCACCTTTCTTGAGTGACAGAAGCCTGGGACAGAAGGGTGAATTTTAGCCTTGGCCTATAGCAGCCTGGCAATGACCCAGCCTCTGGGAGTTCAGGGAAGCTGGGAAAAGCCAGGGAGATGATGGATAAGAGCTCTGTCATCCTGGGACCACAGCCCTTAACCATCACCAGTTACTTCTCCCTATTCCTAGGCATGGCATTCAAGGCCCTACTGTGACTAGCCACTCTGAAAACTCCACCACTCTCCACTCCCAGGACCAGCCACCTACGAGACGGCTCTGGATGTTTCTGTGCCAGGATGCCCTCCTTTGCTTATCAGAAATCTTCCAGGTATAAGTACAAGCCCCACTTCCTCAGGAACTCTACATCAAGCACCTCCACTAGCCTGACTTCTCAAGGCCTCCATGGCTGTGACCCTCATCCACTCAGGCTTTGGTGACTGCTCACTTACACCCTCCATGGTGGAAAATGTAAAGAAAAGCCTGAATCAGGAGTCTGGAGACCTGGGTTCAAGTCCTACTGCCTGGCCAGGTCTCGGTTATATATCCCCTTTTGCTGTTTTTTCCCCTCTACAGAACAAATTACCTTTATTAAAAGAATTTGTTTATTCCCCTGGCCAGTGTTGCTCAGTGGAGAGTGTTGGCCCATCCACCAAAGGGTTGTGGGTTCGATCCCCAGCCACGGTCATGGCACATGTGGGAGGCAATCAATTGATGTTTCTCAAATCAATATTTCTCCCTCTCTCCTCCCCTTCTGCCTTTCCACTCTCTCTCTATAAAAAATAATTTTAAAATTCATTTTAAGTTCATCAAAGTCAGAGCTTTTGACAATCAGGAGAAAAACCATGTTTTCATAAATACTGCATCTCAGCTCCATCTCATGGTGGCCATCAGAGCCTGCTGGGCCATTTGACAGGAGTCACAACCCCCAGGCCCCAATCAGACTGAAGGTGGGCAGCCCCACTTACCATCCTTGGTCACGGCATATCCCACAGAGGCCCCACAAGCCACTGAGGAGACGATGGGCAGCCTGGGGATGAGGGTGGGCATGCTCTTCTCCTCGGCACCCTCTCCCAGGCCCAGCCTCCCGTACTCAGCCCGGCCCAGGCTGTATGCTTTTCCTGTGGGAGGAGGGAGAGAGCAGACAGGAATTGGACTTAAGGTGTGGGTGGAGTAGCAGAGGGTGTGTTCCAGGTTGGCCAGCTAAGTTCCCATATCCATGGGAGCTGGTCCTCATTCCCTGGGTGGTGAGGAGGTCTTCAGTATCTCTCCCAGTTTTGGGGAGGCCTGGGAGAGCCTCCACAGGCCCCCACTGAATTCATACTTGGAAGAGCACCAGGACTCTGGGGGGTTAGTTGTGACCCTCATAGACCCACATCTCCAACCTATGAAGCAGATCCAGGTTCCAAGAGCCATGGGCTCAGGATCAGGCCAGGCCCATGCAAAGAGATGAGGGCATTCCTGATCCAAAGGTCCCACCTTCTGAATCCATGCAGACTGTATGGTGCTGGCCACCAGAGAAGCCCACCCAGGACTTGGTAGAGTTCTTGAAGGATGTCAAGTTCTGGGGTACAAAGCAAGATTCTGTGCCTGAGGTTCCTGGAAGGCAAGGCCCGGAGAGAGTTGTCAAGGGTAAAAGTGTCCAAGGAGCTGTTCTTCATCCCCCACTGAGGCCATCCTACCCTCTACCAGCAAATGAATATTATCACTTTACAGATGACAAAACTGGCTCCGAGGGGTGACTCCACCAAGAGTGTACAATAAATGAGTAGTGGAGCCAGGATTGGAACCCAGGTCACTTTGGCTATGCCCGATGCTGGGTTTGGGACTCACCAAGTTGATGGTAGTTTGAAAGGCCAAAGCCATACACATGGCCCTCGAGGGAGATGGCAAAGGTGAAGTAGGCGCCACAGAAGGCATCCTGGAATTTCACATGGCCACGGGTTCCCCTGGATTTCAACATCACACACTTGGGGACCAGGAGTCGTTCTGCAGGCAGAGAAGCAGCCAAGGTCAGTGGCAGACACACAAAGCCTCTCCTCTCTGCCCCGTGGTGGTTTCTCCCACATCACTAAAGCCCTCGAAGGGATGCTAAGCAGGGACTTTTCTCCCTGTTAGACAGAAGAGGTATCTGAGGCCAAGAGAGTAAAGAGCCTCACTCAGACTCCCACAGCCCTAAGAGGTAATATTTACATGGGATATTTACCAGGTGCCATTCTTCTCTGTTAACTCATTTAACCTCACAACAACCCAATGAAGTAGGTAGGTTTAGAGATGAGAAAACTATGTCCAGGGTCCCATAGCCAACAGGTGGTAGAACCAGGATTCAAAACCAGGGTAGCCTGGCTCTAGAGTCAAAGTTCTTATCTATCTATCTATCTATCTATCTATCTATCTATCTATCTGTGAATTTATTTATTGATTTGAAAGAGGGAGGAAGAGAGAGAGAAAATCGATTTGTTGCTCCATTCATCTATGCATTCACTGGTTGCCTCCTATATGTGCCCTGAACAGGGATTGATCCCATAACCCTGGGGTAATGGGACGATGGTCAAACAAACTGAGCTACCGGCCATGGCTAGAGTCAATGTCCTTAACTACCACTGCAAGTCTATCTGATGTAAGCCTAAACGCACACAGAGAATCCCTCCTGCCTATGACCTTCATCAGGGGGTGTACTGCTGAGTTGCCCTGGCAGAGGGACCTAGCCCACCTACCAAGGCCCTGCCGGCCACCACGATTGGCAAATAATTCAGGGACACGGCCCAGCTGGCCCTGCTCCCCGCAGCCCAAAGTGTAGAGGTCACCATCAGCTGTCAGCATCACCAAGTGGTCGTTTCCTGAGGGCGAGAGGAAGGCAGGAGATGCAGGACTTGTCTGTAGAGCCCAAGGCTTGGCCAACACCAGAATAAGGTTCTCCAACTCCTGCCCAGACTCACCCGAGGCCACCTTCACCACAGGCGCACTCAGCTGCACTTGCACAGGTACCATGCTCTTCTTCATGGGCTCCAAGAGCCCAATCACACCATTATTGTCCTAGAAGGGAGGGCAGAGCACTCAGCCAGTCCTGCATGCCCCATACCAGCCAGATCAACCATAGAGCTGTCTGGTAAGGGGCACTGGTGCCAGATGGGGATGGAGAGGTGAACAGCAATGAGGGCATACAGTGAAATGCTTATGAATGAAATCACACATGGTCTACTATCAAAGGAATGCCCTAGCCGGTTTGGCTTAGTGCAGTGGTCGCCAACCTTTCGAACCTCACAGACCACCAGTGGTCTGCGGACCACCGGTTGTCGAGCGCTGGCTTATGGATAGAGCTATGGCCTTCATACCAAAGGGTCTTGGGCTCGATTCCGGACAAGGGCACATGCCTGGGTTGGAAGCTCAATCCCCAGTAGGGGACGAGCAGGAGGCAGCCGATCAATGATTCTCTCTCATCATTGATGTTTCTGTCTCTCTCTCTCCCTCTCTGAAATCAATAAAAATATATTAAAATAAATAAAAATTAATATAAAAACCCAATATTCCTGAGAAGCATGGAAGACAGCTAGGAAGGGAGGAGAGGTTGAAGGAAGCAAGATGGGTGAGAACAACAGGCTTGCTGGATCAGGCTCGGCCAAAGACATCCTTGACCCACCTCTCTCCTAAGACACACTTCACAACATCAGATTCTAGGCAACAGCCAATGGAGTGGACAGGCCTGAATGAAGAAGCCAGAGACCTGGCTGGGTCTGGGCCCAACCTCTACTTCTAGGACTTGATTTCCTCACCAGTAAGTAGAATAGAGGCATGGAGATAGGTTATCCTTGGGGCCCCACCAGTTAATTCTGTCTGCCAGCCCATGCAGTCTTCCAGCCCATCTTACCCGGAAGCGGCCATCCTCGGTGAGCGCCGCGGTGTGACTGTCTCCTGCTGACACTTGTACCACTTTCTCTTGCAGTTCCACTTTCAGTTCCACTTTCCCAGGAACCGTCTCTGAGCCCTCCACTGATGTGTCCCTTCCCAGGGCACCCTCATCATTGCAGCCAAAGGAGTAGACCTGTGCCCAGGATGCCCCCATTAGTGCAAGATCTGGCCTTTCAGTCCATTCTTGTTCAGACCACCCCGCGCAGCTAGCCAGCTCCATCTCCAAGCCTCCTCCCCCAGACCCTATCCATCCCACGCCACGCCCCCAACCTACCTGGCCACTTTTGCTTAGACACACGGTGTGCATGCCCCCAGCCTCAGCCTGTACAATGTCTTCCGGAATGGTTACTAGGGCTGGCTTCTTCCTCTCCATCACATTCTCGCCCAGCCCCAACTGGCCCACGTCACCCTGGCCCAGTGTCAGCACCAAGCCCGGTTCTGTGCGGTGGGACCTATGTGAGACTGAGGAGTGAAGAAGACAGCCGAGTGTGTAGGATGATGGGAGCGAGGAGAGGTCACTGCATGGGCTCTGGGTTCAATCCCCTGCTCTGCCACAGACCTCAGTATGACCCTTCTGAGCCTGTTCCCTCATTTGTGAAATGGGGATATCAGAAGTCCCTACCTCATAGGGTTTGTGTAAAGGTTAAAAATCGAGCACATTATTAATCGAAAGGAAGGACATAGAAACAAGGAGACACTCAGTATTGTGAAATGAATCTTGGTGGGGAGAACAGTGAGCACCCAAGATAGTTTTCCCGAGTAGCTCTAAGTTCTTGATAAGGCGCCATGGTGCCGAAAGTGAGGGCTCAGGTGTAAAGTCTACTCTTTACTGACTGCTTACTCCACTAATGCTAAATTGCCGCCATGGTGCCGAAAGTGAGGGCTCAGGTGTAAAGTCTACTCTTTACTGACTGCTTACTTTATACGAAAGGGAATGGAGCCTCAGAGAGGTTAATAGAGCTAATAAGTAATAGTGTTTCCATATTTAAGATCCCATTTTATAGGAAAGGGAATGGAGCCTCAGAGAGGTGTCACGGAACTCCTGAACATATTCATACAGACACCTTGGTTCCAATAAGTAGATACACAACCACAGCTGAAGAGGGAGGAGCAGTAAGAGCTAACACAGGTTTTTGCCGAGGTAAGCGCCAACCAGTGGGCAGTCCAGGACCATCTGCTGGCCAATGGCAACCATCTGTGGCCCTGGACAGCCAATGGTGTCCAGTCCCTCCCCCAGGGTTGCCAGGGCCTCTGAGGCTGTGCTGGGCAGGGAGCCACCTGGTCGGGTTTTCTGGTTGGCAGGGCTCGGCCTGCAGGCACCTTGGGTGTAGCGGGCGCCTGGAACTCGGTGGGAAGCACCGGCCCTCACTGCCTGGTTACGAGGGTCTGCAAAAGACAGACACTGTCTGAGTATGGGTCCACACTCCCCCTTCTCAGATTGGGGGTGGATCTCTCCTCCCTGTCTCCCTCCAGGGTTCCAGAAAAGAGGAAACCACAGCCACCTCCCTCAAATGCTACCATGACATTATCTCCTTTTCCTCACAACAGGCCGGTGAGGTTGGAATTGTTCTCGCCTCCTATTTCATGAAAGGGTAATCCAAGCTCAGCGAGAGTAAGATACTTGCTCAAAGCTACATACCTAGAAAGTGGCAGGGCCATGGACCCACATCTGGATGCCAGTGGTTCAAACCATAAGCCACTACTGCCTGGGGCAAAGCCTTCGGGTCTAGTGTTTTGCTAGTACCACCTGAGTGCTTTGAACAAGTCTCTGTGCCTTTATGATTCCTTGAGGGTGGGATTCAATGACCTACAGGAGACCTGCCAACTGGGTGGAGCTTATGGACTTCCAGGCCCCTCAGCTTCAAATGTCAGCGGGGAAGGAGCCCAGTCCCAGATTTTGGGGGCTTCAAGAGGCCATACATAGAGACAGAAGCCAACTTACCCTTCACTTTCTTGCTTTTGGGGAGAGCATCTTCTGGGGGTGACCTTTTCTTAGCCACACGCTTGGGTGGCATCTTCCTGTCCTGAAAAGCCCAGGCAAATACTCCATGTCAGATGGCAATCAATGTCCTGCTCTAATTAGGCAATATTACCCAAAGAAAAAGACCTTTACAAAGGCGAGAGGCACTGCCCAGCAATTCCACTTCTCAGAATTTATCTAAGAACAAGAACAGGATAATACGCCCAAAGAGTAAGTTCCACAGATATTCTCTACTGTATGCTTCATAACATTAAAAAAAAAAAAAAAAAGTGGAGCAATCAGGGCCGGTTAATAGTAGGAGAGCGGCTATGTAGTATATTCATGATCGAACAGTATGAAGCCACTAAAAGTGATGCTTTCAGAGACTTATTGAACATATGTGCTGCCGAAGCGAGCACAAGATGTTTAATAAGAAGCATTACATATCCTATCAAATAAAGAGGGAATATGCTAATTGACTGCCCCACCCTCAAAGATGGTGGCACCCACAGTCAATAAGGAGGGAATATGCTAATTGACTGTCACGCCCTCAAAGCTGGCGGTGTCCACAGCCACAAGATGGCGGTGCACAGTCCCCTCAGCCCTGCCGGGGTGGCAGGTGCACGGCAAGGCTGGGTCCGCTCCTAGGCGGGCCCGGCCACTCTGCATGCCTGCCTCCGGAGACCCCCAGTCCCCTCAGCCCCCAGCCGCCCAGGGCTGGCCCGAGGTGCAGGCAAGCCTCGGATGGTGGCTGCCCAGCCGCCCAGGGCCGGCCGAGGCTCAGATAACCAGGGCCGGCCGAGGCTTGTGCTGCCGGCAGTGGCAGCAGCAGAGGTGCAATGGGGTATCACCTTCCCTTGATCACCGGGTCGCCTCCCACCCCTAAGGGCTCTCGGACTGTAGAGGGGCAGGCCGGGCTGAGGGACACCCCCACTCCAGTATATGAATTTTCATGCACCGGGCCTCTAGTTTTTATTATAAAAAATGAAAAAGCTAAAAAAAAAAAAAAAATGAAAAAGCTGGTGTGGCTATAGCTGAAGAACATTAAGTATCCCTCATAACTGCCCTCAAACCCTGAGATAATCACTAGTAACTTTGTAACTAATGGTTAACTACATAATCACTATGTAACTCTGATGTGTTACTGTTATTATCAAACATTACAAAGTTATTCTAATTCTAATTAAGTAAAACCAAACCAGGCCATTTGTGCCCTTTGATCCCTAAGTGTCACTTCTGGGAGGAGCCTGGCTTTTCTAAAGAGTCCAACAAGGGCACACAAACACCAAGTGTTACAAAAGAGGGAAAGGAAATCACCTATGGGTGACAAGAAGGGTTGTTGGGCCCTAGCTGGTTTAGCTCAGTGGATAGAGCTTCAGCCTGAGGACTGAAGGGTCCCGGGTTCGATTCCAGTCTGGGGCACATGCCCAGGTTGCAGGCTCGATCCCCAGTGTGGAATGTGCGGGAGACAGCCAATCAATGATTCTCTCATTTGTTCACAGTTTTTTTTTTTAAACTATAGTCTGGCCCTCCAACGGTCTGAGGGACAGTGAACTGGCCCCCTGTTTAAAAAGTTTGAGGACCCCTGTTCTACAGGTTGTGACTCTAATGAGGTGGCAGTTCTGAGCTTCACCCAACTTTTATTCTCCCAGGCCGGGAAACCTCCCTCCAACCCACCTCCCTCCAACCCACCTCTTTGAGACCCCTCTTCCCACTAAAAATGCACATTCCTTGGGATTAGAGGGAACTGGATTCACCTGCCAGAACTGTGGCTTGCTCACCTGGCTTTTGTGACCATGGTTGGCCAGCAGCCTTAACCTCTGAATTGTATCCTCATCTGTAAAAGGGGTTACCATACTACTTCTTAGGGCTGCCCTCAAGACAGAATGAAATGTACACTGCACATCTATTGGAATGGCCCAAACCTGGAACACAGTGCCAAATGCTGGTGAGGACGTGAAACAGCAGAATTCTCACTCATTGGTGGGAATGCAAAATGGCACGGCCACTTTGGAAGACAGTTTGGCAGTTTCTTACAAAACTAAATACAACTGACCCTAAACAACACAGGTCTGAACTGCCAGATTCACTTATATGTGGAGTTTTTTCAATAAATACGTACAATGCTATAAATGTATTTTCTCTTCCTTATGATTGTTTTTTTAAAATTATTATTATTGTCTAAAGTTTTACATATGTCACCTTTTTCCCTGATTGACACCCCCCCCAGCCATTCCCACCCCGGGGCAAGCCCCCACCGCCCCAGTGTCTGTGTGTTGTGATTTTCTTAATAACATTTTCTTTTCTCTAGCTTGCATTTTTTTTGTAATACAGAATGTAAAAAAGACTTTATAAAGAACTTTTAAGTGCCAAGCACACAATAAATAGTAATTCCACACTTAACATTGTCAATAGGTTCTGTGACTTTTTTTTTTTTAATATATTTTATTGATTTTTTACAGAGAGGAAGGGAGAGAGATAGAGAGTTAGAAACATCGATGAGAGAGAAACATCGATCAGCCGCCTCCTGCACATCTCCTACTGGGGATGTGCCCGCAACCCAGGTACATGCCCTTGACCGGAATCGAACCCGGGACCCTTGAGTCCGCAGGCCGACGCTCTATCCACTGAGCCAAACCGGTTTTGGTGGGTTCTGTGACTTTAAGTGAACAGATTACAGTGTCTCATCAACATTATAATGAAACAATGTTGAATGCAGTATCATTATTCAAGGACCTGCTGTGTTCAATACATGGAAGCTCAAGCGTTCATTCATTCCACAAATACTTACTGAGTGTCTATTACCACTGTTTGGCTTTGGGCCCGAAGTAGTAAGAAAAAAAAAAGAACACTAATCCTACCCCTGTTCTCATGGAGCTTACATTCTAGTGGGAAAGAAAAAAACTGTTACAGAAGGTGCTGTGTGAAGGATAGACAAGGTGATACACAGAGAATAACTTTGGGGTCACACAACAATGTGAATGCAATTAATGCCACCAAACTGTATATTTATAAATGGTTGAAATGGCAAATTTTATGGTATGCATATTTTATCATAATAAGAAAACAGAGAGATTAACTGGACTAGGGGAGGAGAGTGGAGAGTCAGAAATAGAACCCAGGTATATCTGATGGATTAAAACAAACAAACAAACAAACAATAAACAAATAAACAAACAAACAAAACAAAAAACCCCACAACAGGTTGGCTAAAGGTAGTCCATGATCCGGGCAGGGGTGAAGGCAGCGTGGGCAGGCCTCCCCAGGGTCCCCCATGAACTTGGCCAAACACAAAGGGCAAAGGGCAGAAGGAACCTGAGAGGGAGAGGATGGTGAGACCAGAGAGGAGACTGAGGCAGCGAGGCTGGGCCGGGTGGGTGAAGAACCTGAAGGACATGGGAAAGGACAATGGGGACAACTCCCTGCTGTGGTTGACCTCTGGCTTTAGGGTCTAACAACCCCAGTTCTCTGGGCCTGAGAATCCTCATCTCTCCAGTGGAGGTCTCTGGGCACGGCAGTGCTGCTGTGAGCAATCCTCGGGGCAGGACAGGGAATGAGAGGGCACCTCCTCAAGGGTGGAGCCTGACACCCACTACCCACCTGCATCCTAGAGCACAATCAGTCCTTGTGCACACGCCCTCTCTAACTGCTCTGGGTGTGTTTTCCTAACCAGACAGGGAGTGTCTGGCGGGGAATAAGGAGTAGTCTTTTGTCCACCCACAATCCACACACACAGCTTCCATGTTTGAGGAGCTGACAATCTGGGAGAAGAGTGAGACACAGTCCCAAATAATTAAAAATCAGACACAGAGTCAACTCTCCTAGAATGCTCACACCTGCCTTCTGAGGTAAACGTGACCACCCTGGTTTCACAGGTAAGAAAGCTGAGGTTCAGGGAAAGGCGCCCCAGGCCACACAGGAGTGGGGTGAAATGGCAGGTCTCCCGACCACTCCCGACCAGGGCCAGAGCTCCCCCTTCCCACCTCTCCCTGGGCCTGTTCTTCATGTGATGAATGAGGGCACATCAGACTAGACCAGCAGTCACCAACCTTTCGGACCTCACGGACCACAGGTTGGCGACCGCTGGACTAGACAGTCTACCAGGGAGGGCCTTGTTCCTGCTGTGACCCCCTGGGGTTGTTAGACCCCTGGAACCCCACCACAGCCTCGTTTCTACAAAGGGAGACAGAGCCCGCCCTCTAACCACAGCAGCTGTCCCTACCACCCCCTCACCCCCAATGTCAGGAGCGGGCCAGACCCAGAGGCTGATGAATCTCTTTGTGAGAAAGGTCCCCAGGGGAGGGAGGACAGGGCTCATCTGTCAAAAACATTTGCTGAACTTCTGCTGTGTGCCAGGCACACTCCCGGGATACTCCACCTCAAGCGCTTCCTAACCAGCCCTAGCTGGTTTGGCTCAGTGGATAGAGCATTGGCCTGCCGGCTAAAGGATCCGGGGTTCGATTCTGGTCAAGGGAACATGCCCGGGTTGAGGGCTCAATCCCCAGCGGCGGGTGTGCAGGAGGCAGCCAATCAATGATTCTCTCTCATCATTGATGTTTCGCTCTCTCTCTCCCCCTGTCCCTTCAATAAAAAAGTATTTTTTTAAAAAGTTTCCTAACCAGGGGTTCCCCTTTGTATACAGAGCTGTGTCTGGGTTTATGTGTTTATTTTTCCTATGAAAAGGGGCCACATTTTCCACCAGATGTGAGAACTACCGCTTTATGAAAAATATAGGTATCAGTAATTCTCACCACATGCCTCTTACCTTCATTTTACAGATAAAGAAACTAATAGGAAGATTTAGTGGGAGGCCCAAGGGGACTCAACTAGTGAGTTGCAAAACTGAACAGGATCCCTGCTCTTGGGATGTCTCGGAAAACACCAGCATGAACTCCTAACTCATTGTTCCAGACTCCGTCCTAACACTCTTCTTGGGTGAAACCATCGGGCCTTTTCCACCTCCACCCAGTGTCCCTTGGTCTTGCACCTGAGACCTTTCAAGACCCAGTCCCTGTTGTAGCATCTTGTTCCTCCTCTCCTTGTACCCTGTGTTCCAGTCAGACTCAAACATCTGTGGAATCCCTG